ACTCTGAGATTTATAAGGCAGGAGTTCATTAGGTTGGTAAAAAGGAATAGTCTGCCTTCATTTAAGGTACTGGGAAGAGGTCATTAACTGATTTAACAGTATCCTGAAATAAGATTCCCGTATTTAAAGCTAGTGTTTCTCAAACTTTCTTCCCACAGTTCCCCTACAGACTGATGCTAATCTCTAAAGTGAACTTTATCACTGCTGGGGCAAGGAGGGCATCTCCCTCTTCTCAGGCAGTAAAGAAAGTACAAAAGTGTTCTCTTTCTTCAGCCCAGGGGAGGTAAGAATCAAGACAAAAGCTGTTGGATTAGCTCAGTGTTCTGGGCATAAATATGGATTAAAAAGTTAAATATGCATACTTCTCTTTTTTTATCAAACAATTGATTAAAAAATAAAATCTAAGTAGCATCAAAACTTTCTGAGAAAGAACAGGTAAGTGTAGCCAAGAAGTGTTTGAAACAGAACAACAACAAAGGAGAACTTGTCTACCGGATATTAAAATATTATTCAGCCTACGATAATTTCAATGGGTGGTACTGGCACGAGAACAGACAGAAAGATCAATGGAACAAAATAGGAAGTCCAAAAAACATACCAAGGAATTCTGAGCATGATGAAGATGGCAATTCAAATTGGTAGGGAAATGAGAGCTTATTCAACAGATGGTACGAGACAATGTACTATTTGGGGAAAAAATGAAGTTGAGATGATTTTTTATTCTTCCAGAATCAGGAGGAAAAAAAAAATGTTATCTTCAAAAATCTCTCTAGGGCAATAACTTTCCGAGCTTGGTGGGGGGGGGGGGGAGGGACCAAACAGCTAAAATAAGAAAGGAAAAGAAATAGAGGGATGAAACAACAAATGTATAAATTTTTGTATGGGAAAAATTTAAAAAAAAAAAAAAGAAATAGATGGATGACATAAACATTTAACTTCTCTATATCAAAACAGCATAACTAAGAAAAACAGAAAAGATATATAGAAAACACGAACCGCAGCTGCTAAAGCGAGACACAAGGAACTCAGGGAGGTTCTAGCGATCTGTCACTAACTAGCATAATAAATGACTCCGGACAAATCTTGGCACCATTTTACAGTGAAATTACCTAGTATACACATACTTTGTAAATGAGTGAAAACAAATTATTTTATGTTTATTTGTAGAACCTCAGCTATCTAAAACTCTCAGGGAATTTTAGTTTAAGACAGCTTTAGGGCTCCAATACTGTAATTATTTCAGATGTAAATCTTTTTTTAATTCATTTCTTTACATTCATTACCTTTATTAAGCTGATACATCCACCCGTATGTCTAAAGGCTACCTCCAGCATTCCACGCACAAAACTCCGTCTCTGCTGACTCACCTACTTCCCACTAACTCTATCCCTCCTCCAGTCTTTCCCATCTCAGTAAGAGACAGAACCACCCACCCTGTCGGTGAAAGCAAAATCCTCGAAGCCACCAGTGACTCCTCTTTCCCTTACCCCCACAAGCATTCCATGGGCACCTCCGTTAACTATGACTCCACCATATATCCCACAACCATTCACTTCCATCCTCACTGCTATCACGCTAGTCCAGCAACCACCTCCACCTCCAGCTGGGTTACCTCCCGCTGGTCGGCTGGCTTCCCTACAATCCAGCCTCCACATGCTGGGCAGAATTAACTTTTAAAAACATAAACCAACAACTTCATTTTCCTGCTTAAACCTTCCACACCAGAAGCTATCAAGCCCTTCGTCTTTTTCTTTCAGATTCCTTTCCAAGCTGGTTCCTGCTTGCAGCTTCCCTCTGCCTCGCATTTCCATCAATGATATTCACACAACCAGTTCCTCATTATTCAGATCTCAGCCCAGATACCACATTCTCCGGGCCCTATCCCAACCAACCAATTCAGAGAGGACACCACCCTACCCTGCCCTCACCCTGTTTCATTTTCTCCACAGCATTCATCACCAGTTGGAACTCCTTTTTAGTGTCTGCCCCTCCCAGGAGTGGATGGTCCAGGGAACAGCAACTTCACTGAGAGTCTGGGTCCAGGGGGCCATTCATGCATTTGTTGAACAGAAGGATGAGTCCTCAGTGTATCTAAACATTTTAATAACCCAGGCTCACTCGTATGAACTCAGCAGTTACAGTGTCTACTCAGGGCCTCTGAGCGGCCACAGTTTTGAGTTTCATTTTGTCTGCTTTTTAAAATCTGCTTCTGCCTTCAATCAGCTGTCACAGCACTGCTAGCATCTCTTGGTGGCACCTCTCCCCACTTCAAGCACATGATAGGTTTGGAAAATAAAAGTCATGATGATGGGGCTGTTCCAGCGTTAAAGTACAGTCACTTTGGTCAGAGCTGGCTCAACGGCACCTAACAACAACTTTAGTGCAGGCAGGACTATATTCTCGAAATTTTTCAAAGTTTTTAGTCCCATTCTGAATCTCAGACAGTCACCTAGAAAAAAGTTGCTAAATAGCTGGCTTTTGTTACTAGTTCCTAGACAGAAATTCGTACATTTTTCAATACCCTGCCATAAAGCACACCACAATGCCTGTTATCTGACTAAAAATTTGAGTCTCCTTCACCCATTAACTAAACAATGGTTTTTGTTTAAACACACAAACACACACACACATACACTGGAGTTTTGTTTTGTTTTGTTTACAGTAAGGAATTATTCGCCTTTTAGGAGAAATGTAAAATTAAACACACTCAGTTCCCAAGTAGAGTTCTACCTTGTGCTAGAAGATTTAAGGCCTAGTTTGATACTGAATTGTGCATAAAATCCCCAATTTAAGAGCTGAGTGTGGACTTTTGGCCTGGGCTGCAAAGCACAGCCAAGCCATAATCATAAGTTATACCCGATAACCTTCATCCCATTCCAGCCTTCTCTGAAAGCTCCTTAAGGCTAACATAGTCTTGTGCCATCTCTTGCAATCAGCCTTCTAAACACAGGGTTGACAGGCTGAGGACAGGTCTCTGACTGGAGGGTAGGTTCACTCCCAGATTCCAAGTACTCTGACGTCTTCAGATCAGAAAGATAAAAGAAAAGGTGTAGTGCAAAAAACCAATGGAACCGACTGGATAGGACGCACTGTTTCCTGGTAGGGTTTTCTTTCTCAGAAAGGCAAAGGTGGCACCAAGAAGGGAGAACCAGGCCAGAGGGCACATTACGCTTCCACTTTCCCCTAACTGCTTGAAAACTAACGATGAGGTAAAGCCCTAATCCAAAAAAGAAGAGGTAAGATGGCCAAAACAAAGAGCATGAAGCACCAGCTTTGGGGAACACCATCTTCGAGTGTGAAATCATAGTTCTATTTTGCATTACATGTTCTGAGTACTGCTGGTGTAACAGGAACCCTACCAATTTCTATACACTGATCTTGTTTCTATTAAAACGTATTTGTCTGGGGGAAGGGGCTAAGGAATCACATAATCTATTGTCTGAACAAACAGGTAATTGTCCCCAAAGTTGTGGTTTCATATGGCCTGTCATCACATTACAGTCATGCAGACTTACTTTCAAAATTGTGCTGTAAACAATTTATATGGCTCATCCTCAATTTCTGATATGGATGCTTGTCTGGTCAAAAAGTACAATTCACATCAAGTCCCAGATATTCACGGTACTTCTGGGCAAAAATCCTGATCTGCTGGTTCCCAAAATGCTGCATTAGTCTGTATGTACGCTACCCACGTTCTAAGCTTTTCAGCCACTCAGGACCTTTCCTGGCAGAACCTGGGCTCTGAACCTTGGCAAGATCCTAAAGGAAGCATGCAGAACAGGCATGAATGCACTGAAAGGGCGGTCATTCCCCACTGCTCTCTCTTCCACCTTCCTTCTCAACTCTTTATTTCTACCCTTAGGGTGGGGGTGGGGGGCCCATATATGATTTTCCCCTCACAACATCTAGTGCCTGATAATTTACACCAGCACTGGCTTTAAAAGCTAAAACCAAAACCAAACCCATTGCCATCAAGTCAATTCCGACTCATAGCTAAAGCTATAGGTTATAAATCAAGAACACACAGCAACTAGCTTATCCTGCTCAGCCCGGAGGGCTCTCAAAGTTCCTTCCCAGAGGACCTCCCTCCACTGGTTTGTTCTGTGGCTGGACGAGTCCCAAATCATACCCGTACAGTAAGTGTTTCTGCACTTAACACATATAAGGTTTCCATCAACTCCTTTTATTGTATCTACACCCCTCTTCTACTTCAAGTTCACACCATGGTGAATCTGGCTGTAACCACACCCGCCATTACAAAACCATGTCCTCCAAAACCATCTCCCTTCTAAAGACTACTCTGGCTAATCCCTTTGTTAATCTTGAATATGAACATAATTCCAGTCATTTTATGACTCACACGGCCAACTAGGGCACAGTTACTGGCTAACATACAGACATCACTGAACTTCGCTAATGAATACCGAATGCAGTCTTCCACTGAATCTCCTATGTGCCAGGAACTGCTTCTCCCCAAAGGTTCTCTTTCCAGTTAGTCAAGAGACTCGTGTGGTCGAGCTTGCAGTGGGCACCCCCTTGCACTTCCATGAGTACGTGAAATCTACCAGATGATATGGAAGGTCACTAGCTAGATAAACTGACATCAGCTTTAACTTTCCAAGAGCGACGGTAAGCATTTCAGAGAACCAAGTAGTAACTATCACTACCACCACTGATCATACGCACCGAGCTAAGAGTTTCCCAACAGCCTTACAGAGAAGACGCGATTAGTCAGGTCTGTTTAACAAAGAAGAGGGGATGTACTTGGAAAGTCGAAAGACCTTGCAAAAAATAAGTCAGGCTAAAAGCCACCCCTGGAGGTGCCACCTAGGTACGTCTGATCCCAAAGCGCTGCGCTCGCCATCCCGCCTCTGATCTCTGCTGCACTGAGAGCACCCGATCCCACAATAACCCTGGGAGCGAGGGGTCTGAGAAGCGGGCAAAGGCGCCGCCCGCGGGATGCTGGATGCAGGAGGCGGTGCCCGGGCGCACGGGCTCACCTGTAAGCGGCCACGGCGCGAGTCTGCAGGTACTTCTGCGCGGTCATGACTCCCACGAAGAGAAAGTTACTGTCGTGCGGGCCTCCACCTGGGGCCGGGCCGTGCGGCCAGAGCAGCGCCCCGCGCGCATCGCCGCGCGCCCCG